GGTGATGGTCACAAGTGAGGGGTCACGAGTGGGGTGACACGGCTCGGCACTGTGCACCCCGAGTGGGGGGACAGGAATAGGGGTGATGGTCACAATTGAGGGGTCACGAGTGGGGGGCACTCACCGGGGTGGACTCAGGGTCGGGCTGGGCAGCCCCAGTCAGGCACCACGAGTGGGGTGGGGGTGTCACCCGTGGTGGGGGGGGGTCCCGCGTGGGGGGCACTCACCGGGGCGGGCTCGGGCTCCGCGCTGAGCAGCCTGAAGGCGTTCTGCACCTCGGGCTGCTGGTTGTAGGAATCCACGGCCTGCGCCAGCGCCTCGACGTAGGAGAGGGACGCCGGGGTGGGGAGGGCACAGGCCCCCCCCAGCACCGCCAGCACCAGCACCCACGAGCTCGGCATCGCTGTCCCCACGGCCACCCCCGCGTCCCTTTTATCACCCCACCACGGGGGACCCGCCCCGGGGCTGCCCCTCGGGAAACGCCCGGCCCCAAGCCGCAGAGTGGCCGTTCTTTTGGGGGGACGCGCGGGGCGGGGGGGTCCCCGCGTGTCCCCGTGGATGGGCGGTGGCATCTGAACCCCTCGGGGTCCCCCCTTGGCCGGGCGCGGGGGATGTGGGGGCCGGGACCCCTGGGGCGGTGGTGACACGTTGTCCGTGTCAGGTCGGTGCCCGCGGGGTTGCACAAGCCCGGAGTTGCCCCATCGCTGTTGCCCAAGGCCGAGGGTGCCCCCCGGGTCCCCCAAACCGTCACCCCCAGACACGCACACGTCCGACCCCAAAATCTCTTTATTGCAGCTGCGCTGGGGACAGGGGGCGGCGGGACGGCCCCTGCAGGGACGCGCTGGGCCGGGGGCGAGGCCGCGGGGGCGGCCCCGAGGATGATGATGAGGATGAAGATGGGGAGGAGGATGAGGAGGATGAAGATGAGTGACCTGGGTTGGTACCAGGGGAGCGGGGCTGGGCGCTGTCACCGGACTGCTGCGGGGAGAAATAAAAGAGGGGGTTTCACTCCAGAGCCAAAATTGCCCCCGAAGTGAGGGGGACGCGTGTCCCACCCGCAGGACGGGCTCCGGAGCCCTCACCGGCTCCCGGCCGCACTCCACCATCGACAGCGGCACGTCGGGCAGGAAGGTGAACACGGACACCTGGGCCGAGCAGCGCTGCACCTGGGGACACAGCGGCCTCAGCACACCGGGGACCCCCGTGCGTGCCCCGGGGCTCTGGGGGTCCCACCCCACGCTCACCCTGCCCGGGCGGCCGCGGCAGCCGCGGGGATCCGGGGCGGGCTTGGGGCAGGGCGGCTGCCGGGCCGTGAAGTTGATGCTGAAGTGGGTCCCCCAGTCGAAGCTCTGCCGGCGAGAAAAGCTCCGTGGGCGACCCGCACGGGACGGTGCCGGAGCCGGAGCGCACCCCCCGACCCGAACCCCCTTTTTCCTACCGTCCTGGCCACTCCCAGCAGCCGCAGCAGGCGCAGCTCCTGCCCGTGCGCCTCCAGCACGGAGCGCGCCAGCTCCCGGGGCGCGGGCGCGGCGGCAGCGCCGGCCGCCAGCAGCACGGCCCCGAGCAGCAGCGCCATGCGGGCGGCACCACCGGCCTCGGCCCCCGGCTCGGCCCCCGGCTCGGCCCCGGGCCCCCGAGCCGCGGGGAGGGATCGGCGTGCGGGGTTGTCCTTGGCCCGGCGCCGCGGAGGGGAGCGCGCCTGGACCCGCAGGAGATGCGGCGATGCTGGAGCTCCGGCACGGCCGATCCCCCTCCGCGGCCCCTTCTTCCCGGTGCCTGCTCCCGGCTTCTTGGCACGCTGCTCCAGCCGACATCCTGCTCCTCCCAAGCTGGGAGCCACAGCATCCTGCTGGAGCCCCCTCCCTTCTCCCAGCTTCTTGACGCGATTTTGGGGTTTAAAAATCCCTCTCACCTTGCCGTTTCATCCAAACACCCCAGGCCCAGGTTTTCCTTGGATTCAAGAAGAACACAGGGTTTACCGAGGACTCCACTGTGCATTCTGCTCTCCCAGTTTGCCTTCCCTGGGTGGGTGGGCCTCCTTTCCCCAAAATTCAGTATTTTCCTGCTGCCTTTGCAGCCAGGAGCTCCCCTTTCTCCTCGCTTCCTCCACAATGGAAAAGCAAAGGAATCCCTGGGGAAGGAATCCCGGGAAGCACAAGTGGGAAACACCCGGGATCCCTGGGCTTGGGAAGAGCCCTGGGGTCAGGGGAGCTGCTGCTCTTCCAAAGGTATTTGTTCCAATATTCCCAATCCCATGGACACAAGCCCCAGGTGGGAGGGAGAAGGGATAATGGAACACCAGGAGAGCAGCTCACCAGAGCTTCCTCTGCCCATGGAGACCATCGGGAGTGGTCCTGGAGAAGAGAAGATGCCACGGGCAACAACTTCATTCTAATCATGTTTTTTCTTATTTTTCCTTTTTAAAGTCTGAGCAGCACAGAAAAGTCCAAAGGATTCCCATTTCTGGGAAGCCAGCAATGGATAGATGTGGGAGAAATGGATATGTCCCGATAGATCACATTTATAACCAGATATGCTCATGATAGACCCTAAAATATACACAGTACCCCAATATAGACATCCACATATACAGCCAGAGTCAATCCCAGGGATGCTGGGAGCAGGAACAGACACCAGGAGCGGGGCTGGGGGGCACATCCCGCTCCTCCCAGCCCCTGGGAATGCCAGGATGGGGGAACAGCCCAAATGCCTGGCAGCTGGGGTCGGGCCAGGTTCCTGCTGCCTGGCCCTGCCTGCCCGGAGGAGGTATGGCAGTGCCCAGGGTGGCACGGGAAGAGCCGGGCACGGAGAGCTCCGGAGGGACGGCGGATCACGGATCATGCAGGACAGGGGCTGAAGGGCTGATGCAGGGAAGATGCTGCCAGGCAGCTCTTTGGCTCTGCCAGCGTTCCAAAGTTTCCTGGCACAAAACCCATGGCAAAGACCTTTCCCAGCAGAGCACGACAAACTCACGACGTATTTTCCTTGCCTCTCCTAAAATATCCCAGCCTTTCTGTTCCAGCTGCCTCTTAGGCTTGGAAAATACCTCAATATTTAATTTAAAGGACATCCTGATCATCTATTTTCCATTTTGAAACCCTCAGGCTGTTGCCTGGAGTCGTTACCATCCATCCTTCTCCAGAGCTTGCCCAAACAATCCTGGTTTAACTGAACTTCTCCTCTTCCTGGTTTCTCCATCCTGTGGCTCTTGTGGAGAAGTTTTCCACATCAAGCTGAGGAAAGCACGAGCAACTGGGGGCGTCTTGTGCAAGAAGCTCCTGGAAGCGACAGCGCCGTGTTTGTCCTCTTTGGAGACCCCTTTGTGCAACCAGGACCCCCCAAATCGCTGCTGATACCCCTGGGAGGGCTCAGGTGGTTTTGCTGCTCCCAGAAGGTGCAGATGGATTTTCCAAGTCCTTCAAGTGGCTGTTTTTATGTCACAATGAAGCCTGGCCCCCTCCCCCAGCCCGCAACGGCACTTCCCGAAGGCGCAACCGCAGGAAAACCAACGAGGGATGGATGGATCCGCTCGGCTCCGGAGAAGGCCGAGGGGTGTTACAGAGAGGGTCTTTGCCTCGCACACAAACTCACCACGTTTGGCCCTCCAGGACCTTCAGCCCAAAAAGTTACAGGTGGGGGATTGCTCTCAAGTCAAGTCTCTTTGCGTTTGGATCGAGCACCTGCAAATCCCGACCGCCGCCGAGACGCCCCCAAAACGGCGGCGGTCAGATGGTGAGGAGCGGCACGCAGCCCACGCCCACGCCGCCCTCGTGGCACACCATGGGCGCCATGAACGTCCAGCGGTTGGTCTCGGGGTCGTACATCTCCACCGAGCTGAGGTTGGACTGTCCGTCGTAGCCGCCCACGGCGTAGAGCCGGCCGCAGTTGGCCACGAGGGAGACGCGGCTGCGCCGGGTGTTCATGGGCACGATCAGGTACCACTGGTCGGCCATGGAGCTGTAGACCTCGGCGGCGCTCAGGAAGCCGGAGCCGTCGTAGCCGCCGCACACGAACATGCGGCTGCCCAGCGCGGCCGCGCCGTGCCGGCACCGCTTGTTCAGCATGGGCGCCACCGCGTGCCAGCTGGACGTGTGCGGGTTGTAGTATTCCACCTGCCACGGAGCACGGCCACTGTCAGGGATGCTGCTGCCTCGGGAATCGCCCGCTGGCGTCCCCCGCGGCACCTCCAAACCGGGGGCAGTTTTGGGTTTCTCGTGCTGAGACGGTGAGGGGATGCTCAGGGAAGGGAAGGGAGATGGGGAAGGGTCTGGAGCAGCTGAGGGAGCTGGGAGGATTGAGCTGATTTCATTTAAAGGTTCAGCTGCTATGGGGTGGTGCCTGAAGGGTTTGGGTTGGAAGGGACCTTAAAGTTCATCCAGTGCCACCACTGCCATGGGCAGGGACACCTCCCACTATGTCAAGGTGCTCCAAGCCCTGCCCAGCCTGGCCTTGGGCACTGCCAGGGATCCAGGGGCAGGCACAGCTGCTCTGGGCACCTGTGCCAGGGCCTGCTCACCCTCCCAGCCAGGAACTCCTTCCCAATATCCCACCTAAATCTCCCCTCCTTCAGCTCAAAACCATTCTCCCTGTCTCCTGTCCCTCCATCCCTCATCCCCAGTTCCTCTCCAGCTCTCCTGGAGCCCCTTTAGGCCCTGCAAGGGGCTCTGAGGTCTCTCTGGAGCTTTCTCTTCTCTCCCAGCCTGTCTCCATATCCAGGGGGCTCCAGCCCTCAGAACATCTCCATGGGCCCGAGTGGATAAATGAGTCACTTCTGTTCCACCTCGGGTTTTTCTGTTATGGGTGGGAATGACACAGTGTGGTGGCACAACCACCTGGGGCTGTTTGGCTGCCCAGGGAGAGGACACGGAGCCTTCCAGCCCCATGCTGAGGTGCAGGGCTGAGCCCTGCCCAGGGCCTTACACTGTTGAAGATCTGGAGCCCGTCGTGCCCTCCGGACACGTAGATCCGGCCCTCGAACACGGTGACTCCGGCAGCGCTGCGGTTGGAGCTCATGGGGGTCACGGCTGTCCACCTGGGAGGGAGAGGGGAGAGGTTACCAGGACTCCCACAGATCATTCCATGCTTTTCTAGTGCTGGATTCTACCATCTCTCCTTTCCCCACTCCTTATTCCCACAGCCCTGATGCCCAGCCGTGCCAGGACACGGAACACCGGAGGGGAAGATCCTGGAAAAGCTCGGGGACACGAAGGGCTCTTACTTGTTTGTCTCTGGAGAGTAGGACTCCACCGAGTTGAGGGATGAGTTTCCATCGTAGCCACCACACACGTAGATCTGCCCATCCAGCACCACCGTTCCCATGGCACTGCAAGGAACAGCAGGAGGTGGCTGGAGGTGCTGTCACCCTGTCCCCAACACTGTGACCCCACACACTCTGCCCGTG